AACCCTATGGAACAATAGATCTGAGCCCTGCCCCTTCCCACCATCTTCACAATCTCTGTCATGGTCAAGCCCATTGTAGTAATAATCACTGTGTCAAGGCATCTTGTTGAGATTCTTCCTCTCTTTCTCTGACCCTCCACCTTTCCTAGCATGATAACCTTGTATAAGGGTTGGTTCTTCCTGAGAATATGCCCGAAGTTAGTGAGATGGAGCTTCTCTCTCCTTTCCTCCAGGAAGCACTCTGGTTGCACTTCCTTGAAGATAGATTTGTTTGTTCTTTTGGCACTTTGTGAAATACTCAATACTCTTTGCCAACACCACAATTCAAAGGCATTGACTCTTCTCTGGTCTTCTTTATTCATTATCCAATGTTCAGATGCTTAGGAAGCAATTGAAAATACTATAGTTTGGATCGGGTAGACCTTAGTTGTTTTGGTTTTTGGTGGGTTTTTTTAGCATTAGACTTGATTTATTTCAAGATTTATTAAAACATTGCTCAGGTGCACATCAATCTTGGATCAACCTTCTAGACCTTAGTCTTTAAACTCAAATCCTTGCTCTTCAGAACTTTGGAGAGATCCTTGAGAGCCCATTTCCCCAGGGCAACACATCTTTTGATTTTCTGACCCCATAGGAGTTGATTGTGGAGACAAGTGAAGTGAAATCATTGAGAGCTTCACTCTTTTCTCCGAGGATTTTTGCTTTTTTTTTTTTTTGTTAAGATGCAAACCATTTTTTTTAAATTTTTTTTTATTATTATTTTGTGTGTGTGTACCATCAAATTGGATCTGACTGGTACAGGAAGAGATTGTGCCTCCTTCAGCAGAACACCTGGTGGATTTGAACCACATGCCTCTGGGATTGCAGTGCAGCTTCCTGCCACTAGGCCACCAGAGCTCACCGATGCAACCCATTTTTTCCAGTGTATTTTTATTTGTCTTTCAGTTTGCATGAGTATTTTTCCTTGATCATTCAATCACATGTGAATGTAGCACTATGCTGTTTTATGACATGAACAGCTTTGTGTAACCACCGCCATAACCAAGATACTTAATTGCACCAATATTACCAGCCCCTGAAGTGCTAGTCTTTTATTGCCCTACACACCCTTCTCTTCCACACCCACATCCCTGGCAACCATTAATCTGTTTTTTATTGCTACAGTTATGCTATTTTGCAAATAGGAAATAAACAGCATCATGTAGTGTATCTATATTGTAGAGCCAGTTGGGGGTTTTCCGTAGTGGCCTAGTGGTAAGAAGCTGTGCTACAATCCCAAAGGCATGCAGTTCAAATCCACCAGCAAGCCCACGGGAGAAGCATGGACAGTCTCATCCCGTGTGATCAACGCCTCTGAAAACCAGCTGGAGAGCCAGCTATGGGTTGGCTCTGACTCAATGGCACACGACAACAACAATAATAACATAATTTTAAAGGAACATATTTTACTTGGTACAGATGTTACAAAATACTTACATCCTTAAAAAAAAAACCACAAATAACTTCAGTCCTTGTAAAAAATATTCTTCCTTTAAAAAAAATAATTCCTCCTCCTCACCAGAATCAAACACTGATAGTTTTGAGAAAACAAGGTGCAACTGCTGTGTTTTCTTTGGCAAAGTAAGCCCATACTGCCTGCCTGGAATTGCCATCTTGCTCCCATCTCCACTGAACATCTATGATGTAACCCATATTGAAGGCTGTATTTTTTTATCTTCTGCAGTAAATGTTTCAAGTCTTCACTTTCTGTAAGCAAGGTTGTGTCATCTGCATAATGCAGGTGATTTCCAGCAACAATAGCAAAGATCAACAGGGCAGCAAACAACAAATGCTGGGGAGATTGTGGAACAGAGATTAGAACTCTTATTCACTACCAGTGGGAATGTAAAATGGTACAGCCACTCTGAAAGGCAGTCTGGTGTTTTCTCAAAAAGTTGGAAACAGAAATACCAACTGACACAGCAGTTCCACTAGTGGGAATATACCCTAAAGAAACCAGAGTCACAACTCAAATAGATGTATGCACACCCATGTTTATTGCTGTGTTATTCACAAAACAAAAAGATGGATGCAACCCAAGTGTCCACCAAGAAACGAATGGATAGAAAAACTATGGTATATTCACACAATGGAATATTATGCATCATTGGAAAACCATTAACTCACAAAACATGAGGGAACCTGGAAGACATTATGTTGAGTGATATATCTCAGCCGCAAAAGGACAAATCCTGCCTAACACCACTGATAGAAAACAGGACAGACATGAAGCGGTTGGGAGAGAATGGGGGAAAAGTGGATAGATAATGAACACTGCATTAGAACAGATGAGAGGAAGAACTGTCCAAAATCAATATATGATTAGGCATTATATAAATGACAACAACCTGGAACAAGGGGTGCATAGCAGCATGGACTGGGGAAGGGGAAGAAAATGTGCAACCATGACTTATTTTATGTGTTTAACAGGAAAGGAAAACAAAATAATGCAGGTTGTTGATAATATTATTTCAGTTCTGATGCCATATTCTTCTCCATGTAGTCGTCTCTTGAATGATTTTCTCAGCATATAGATTGAATAGGTATGGAGGAAGATACAACATGGATGCATACGTTTCCTGATTTTAAACCAGGCAGTGTTCCCTTGTTCTGTTTGCACCACTGCTTATTCGTCTATGTAGGGTTTTTGAATGTGTTAGCCGTAATTTGTTACGATCCACACAGTCAAATGCAGAGGCATATTGCGTAGTCAGTAAGGTACAAGTAAACTTCTTTCTGATATTTTTCTGCTTTCAGCCAAGAGCAATCTGACATCAACAACAATGATTTCCCTGATGCCGACCTCTTCTGAACTCAGCTTGAATTTCTTGCAGTTTCTTGTCAATGTACTGTTCCAGCCATTTTTAAAATTGATATTTTAATAAAAGTTTATAGGAAACTTGGATTTCCATTCATTCATTGTTGTACATTTTCCTCACTGCCCCCCCAGTTCACTTTTCTTTTTTAAATTTTTTTTTTTCATTGTTGTATAATTCTCCACCCTCACCCCAGTCCACTTTACTATGCAGCTCTTATTCTGGACTTATTCATACAAATAATACCTAATCATATATTCCTTTTAAGCAGTTCTTTCTCATCTGTTTCAATGTAGTGTACATTATTTATGCCATTTTCTTAGTTTCCCCTCAACTCTGATGTCAATCCTGTTTTATAGCAGTGACTGTATGCAGTATTTGACCTTTTGTGACTGAGCTGGGTTCCAGTTTCTCCACAACCTCGCCAGCATTTGTTGTTTGCTGCTCTGTTGAATTTTGCCGTTGTTACTAGGGTGAGATGATATCTCATAGTTGTTTTGTCCAGCCATTTTAAAATAATCTTCAACAGAATTTCACTTGTATGTGATATTTATGTATTATTCAGTAATTTCCAGTCTGCTGGGTCACATTTTTTGGAAATGGGAACATATGGGGATCTCTTCTAGTCAGTTGGCCAAGTAGCATCTTCCATATTTCTCAGCAGAGGCTGAATAATTGGTGTTCCATCAAATTACTGGGGCCTTATTTTGTGCAGCTTAGGCTTCTTCCTTCAGCACTGTTGTTCTTGATCGTATGCTACTTCCTAAAATATTTCAGGGTTGACCAGTTTTTTTTGACATAGTGATTTTGTGTGATTCTTTCTCTCTCCTTTTGATGCTACATGCATCATTTCACGATTTGCCCATCGAAGCCTTCAGTATTACAACTTGAGGATTGAATTCTTAACTTCAGCCGAAGAGCCAAGTTATAAAGATACAAAGAGCTGGGATTGACTGAACAGCTGTTGTTGTTAGACACTGTTGAGTCCACTGGGACTCATTGCAACCCTATGAGCAGTTGATCTGAACTTTGCTCTATCCTGCACCATCCTCACTCTCTTCTAAGCCCACTGTTATAGTCACTCTGTCAATCCATCTTGTTGAAGATCTTCTTTTCTTTCTCTGACTCTCCACTTTTTCCCAGCATGACATCTTCCAGGGACTCCTTTCTCCTGACAACACGACCAAAGTATGTGAAACAAAGTTTTCACCATCCTTCCCTCTAAGGGAGCCCTGGGGTTGGCATTTCCTCCAAGACTGATTTGTTGATTCTTTAGACAGTCTGTGGGATATTCAGTACTCTTCTCCAGCACTGCAGTTCAAATACATCGATTCTTCTGTCATCGCTTGTCATTATCCAATTTTCAGAATCATACACAACAATTGAAAATACCATGGCTTGGATCAGACGCACCTTACTCTTTAAACAGCAGTGAGTTTTTAATGTACTGCTCAAGGCTTAGAGTTGAACCTAGGTAAATCCACTGGGTATACAGTATGGTGTGATTTTTCTGTGGGAAAACTCATTCTCCTTGTCATTCAGTTGGAACTGCCTCAGAGTTGACCCTGCACTGGGTTTCCAAGCCTGTGAATTGCATGAGAGGAGATTGCCCGGCTTTCTCCTGTGGAGCCTCTGGCAGATTTGAATCACCAGCCAGAGTGGTGCAGCCTCATTACACAACTGCAGACTGGGCCCCCAGTGTGTTTGTAAGTAGTGTTGAGTGAATGAGACAAAAGGAGACAGCCGTGGACCTCCTTGGACAGCTGACCATTGGCAGGTATGCTAACCAGCTTACGGCTGCTGAACAGGAGTCTTAAACAAGCAGTCATTGTAGAATCTGTTACGATTCGGCAGCCTGACTGGGCTCAGCCGGATTATTCTTCCTGGTGCAGCCTCTACTGGGGCAACATGTTTTGGAATGTTTCCGAGATCTGTGCTCATGTTCCACCCGGATGTCCAAGCCTCTTTATGTAACTTCTGCAACTAGGCAGCCGATTCCATGTACGGGTTCTCACAGTGAGCTGTGGGGACCACCCCAGCTGGGGCCATCTGGAGAATAAACCTGTCAGACATGAGTGCGTGCACTGAGAGCTCAGTGCTGCCTCTCACCGGGCCCTACAATGATTTTTTTTCTATGTCCCCCAGGCCCTGAATGCCCTTCGGGAAGCCATGACCCACTCCTCCCAAGGACAAAAGGTGTTGATGCCCCTGGCCCAATTCCGAGATCAGTGCCAGCAGCACAAGCCCAACCGTTTCCTGGCTGCCCAGAAGGGGGCCTACCCGGTGCTCCTTGCCGCTTGGCAGCTGGCCACAGCGGATGACCCGGCCCTCCTGCTCCAGGTGCTGGATGCCCTCTCGGCACTGACAGATGGCCAGCCTGACCTGCTGGATGCCCATGGTCTGCAGCTGCTGGTAGACACCTTAGCCCAGGGCTCAGGTACACCTGACCTCGCGTGTGCTGCACTTCGCCTCGTGCGCCACGTTTGCCTGAAGCATGAGCAGAACCGACAGGCCCTGGTCAAGGCAGGCGTGCTGCCCCTGCTCACTGGAGCCATCACCCAGCATGGCCACTGTGCTGATGTCGTCCGGGAAGCCTGTGGGGCACTCCGAATCATGACCTTTGATGATGACATCCGTGTGCCCTTTGGCCAGGCCCACACCCATGCCAAGATGATTGTGCAGGAACACCAGGGCCTGAAGTTGCTGGTCAAGGCTGCCCAAGGTAAGGGGCATCAGATAGCCAGGGAACATGTACTCTCCTCTTAGGTCAGGTTCAGCCTGCCCAAGATAGGGATTGTGGGTGGCCCAGAAGGTCCAGCCTCCTCTTAGACTTAGGGTTCAGTTAGGGGAGATGCTAGTCATATATTAGTAGAGGCTGTCCAAGGTAAAGGATAAGGGTGGTCTTTGGGGTGGGACATGGCTTCCTTTAAGGCTTGATCACCTTGCTACCCAGAACTCCAGGCTGGGCTTCATGGGCCAGGCTCAGAGGGGAGCCACTCAGGAAGTGTGGCGCAGTACTGTCCGGCCACATTGCTGGCCAAGGGGGCAGGGAAATTAGGGTGCTATTTCCAAGGAAGTGAGTTCCAGTGGTTTAGTCTATTGGAAGTGGCGCTGCCAACCTAAAGGCAGCGTGTCTCCAGCAGTTCCAGTCCACCAGCAGCTATGCAGAGAAAGATGGACAGTCTCCTCCCATTACTGTGTATAACCCTGGAAGCATAATAGAAGGTTACTTTCAGTCGGAATTGACTCAACCACAGTGAGTAAGCAAATGAGTTTGCACATTCTGGGGCCTTGGTGCCCGCACTGTGGGTGGTCCCAGCAAGGTTCACATTCATACTGACTGTATTTGGCCATAAAAATCTATGTGTGTTCCTGTGCTCAGCTCCACCCTCACAGTGCTGACATTCTATTCCCAGAACCCCTGCCCAGCCCACTGTTCCTGCCCAGGGAAGGCCTTACCAGGGCTCAGAGCCAAGAGGTACTGGGAGAGTAAGCACCTTGCCCTGATCACCCCATGAGCCCGTTATGAACAGCCTAGTCCTATCCACGCAACCTGCAAGTGTGACACAGGCTTAGTGGTCTGCATGTCAGCAGCTCTTTGGATGGTGGTCTTTGTCTGATTCGTTCACTTCAAAGAACTGTGTCAGCCAGCAGATAGAACCACAACCAGATGGATTGGCACGGTGGCTGCCACAGTGAGCTGAAGTGCGTCAGAGATGATGAGGATGGCACAGGGTAGGACAGGGTTCAGATCTGTTGTTCACAGGGTCGCTGTGAGTCATAGACAACAAATACACAATAAAGGGAGGTCTGGTGGCCTAGTGCATAGGGAGTTGCAGCAGGTTTGAATCCAGCAGCTACCGCACAGGAGAAGGATGGGCAGTCTCCTCCCATGTGATGTACAGTGTCTGAAAACCCATCAGAGGGTCAGCTATGAGTTGGTTCCGATTTGACGGCCATGAACAACATAGATAATGGAGCAGCCTCACAGAATCAGTGCACTGCGTCCTGTGACTTCACATCTGGGACCCTCAGGGTGTAGCAGGCTAAACACAGGTAGGGTCTGCGGCCATGAGTCCTGGACAGAACTCCATCCCCTTGCTCTGCGTCTGTTCTTAAGCCCTTCAGCTGGTAGGGGGCCCACCGAGTTTGGAAGATGGTTTCCTGGTCTTAGCCTCTGGCTGTGGGTCTGCTGACTGTCACAGTGTGGTCAGTGTCAGCTTGAGTAGCATAACCCACTTTCGTGAGTCTCTGCTCTCACTCTGGGGGGGAGGGTTCTGTTTGAAGGTGTCCCCTCCCAGATACCTTTGTTGGCTGCAGCATCACTGTGTCAGACCAGCTGTCTATGTTTCTTTGCAGGGTGCCTGGGTTTTGTTGTCACACTTACAAGGATGATTCCCATCCCAAGATCACAAAATTGCCTCGAGTGTTTGATTTTAGCACTCTGCTGCTTTCATTTTCTAGATCTGGAATGTCTTGAGTGTGTTTGGGGGAGCCAAACTTGTCCATCCGCCAGCAGGGGGCGCTACACTCCTGGCCCTTGAGCACACTCCTGCTGCAATCCCTGGTGCTAATAAAGGGCCTGGAGCATTCAGGATAGAGATGGTTCCTGAGACAGAGGGGCTGCCGCCTCACCAGAGCTGCAGCAGCATGCCTGGTGAAAGCCAAATGGCCAGATCTCCACTCTCCAGGTCCACCCACCCTCTTCTAGGTCCCCCTGCTGTCCTCAGACTCCTTCAGCATCCCCAGAGTCTCTCCAGCCCCCTCGCTAGGTGGGAGGAGTCCCATGCACTTCTGCGCCCCTAGGTATGCTCTCTCCCCTCCACTGCAGCATTTCCTGACAACCCTGGCGTCCTGAGCGAAGTCTGTAGCACCCTGTCACGCCTCGCTGTCCGCAATGAGTTCTGCCAAGAGATTGTGGACCTCGGGGGCCTGGATGTTTTGGTGGCCCTGCTGGACAGTGACACCAGCCACCAGGTGGGCACTGACGTCCCCTCCCAGGGGTTCCTTTTATTGTTTCCCTCAATCTGGGTTGGACCAGTGTGCACTGGTAAACTCTGCCATTGAGCCTTTGCTGGCCCGACCCCAAAGCTCTCAGGATGGTGAAGTGCAGTGCGGATTCTACCCATCCCTTTTTCATCTAATAGCATTTATCAGCCCAGGAAAGCTTTAGGGATGTCCAGAATGTGATGGTCATGGTCATGTTCCACAATGGTCCAGCTAGCTTCATCACCAGACTTAAACTGGTTTAAACTGACTTCAGCAAACAAGAGAAGGCATTTTAGCTGCTGCACTCCTGAAAAGTCAAAGTCTGGCCTTCCCCACCCCGCTAAGGCCAGAGTCCATGGCCTGATTGGCTGGCCTGAGTCACATGCTCACACTTGAATGATCAGAAGGCAGAAACCCCCTCAGCCCCTTTGCCAGTGTTGGGGTGGGACGGGCCTGCCTGGTCTGCAGTTCTTCATGGACAGCTTGTGTAGCAGGCATGGGACAGCTGCCCCAGGCCCATGTGGAGGCCTCCCCGCCCAGCAGCCAGGAGAGGGACTGCCACTAACTGCTCTCTCCTCTCCAGGACCTCGTGAAGCAGGTGCTGAGCGCCCTTCGTGCCATTGCAGGCAACGACGATGTGAAGGATGCCATTGTCCGTGCCGGCGGGGCCGAGTCCATTGTGGCCACCATGACCCGCCACCTGGCCAGCGCCCAGGTGCACACTCAGGGGAGGGAGATGAGTATGGAATTTGGTCCCTGTCTATACCCATCTGATGCTCCCTTCCCACTTCTCAGGCGAGGGCAGAGTGAGGCCAGTGAGACACTCAGAGTGGGGAGAGCTAGAGGGTGCAACCCCCCCAATCCTGAGAGTGGAAAGCCTAGGGTCTCCCCCAGTGACTGGCACACCCAGGAGGCCCTGACCAGGCGTGGGGATGGTGTCTTCAGCCCTGATTGTCCCTGGTGTTCCTGTCACCTGACACCTTCCCTGTCATTGTTGATCTGGAACAAGCTAAGCTGACAGTAGTCCATCTTGGGGTAGGAGGGGTCTTTTGGCTCCTCTCCTAGGTCTCAGACACCCCATAACTGCCTCCCACAGGTGTGTGAGCAGAGCTGTGCTGCCCTGTGCGCCTTGGCCCTGCGCAAGCCTGAGAACAGCCGGGTCATCGTGGAGGGAGGCGGGGCCCTGGCCACACTGGAGGCCATGAAGGCACATCCTAAGGAAGTTGGTGTGCAGGTAGGTGGGGTACGGGGGTTACTCCTTTTTCCTGCCCTGGATGTTGTATCTTCCCCACCCCCAGGGTCAGTCAGCCTGGCATCTCCTCAGCTCTCTCTTCTTGGGCCTCACCTCTTGTTCATCTATTGGTCCTTTAGAGGAGTCTGGGCACGGGTAATACAAGCAGCAAGTGTGGGTCTGCTCAGGCTTTGGAAGGCCCCTGCCTGGTGACAGTGTGCTCCCAACGTGGGGATGCCACTGACCGCACCCTGTGGGCAGCCAGCCACCTTCCCACCCACCTGGGACCCAGGCTCCCTTCTTTTTCCTGCCCGGTACAAGTAACACTGGGTCCGCACACGGCAGTTCTGTCCCCATGCCTCTGTCCCCTGAGCTCCTGTTCTGACCTACAGCGCTCCACTCACCTACTCTGAGCTTCTGAGAAGGTAACAGGAAGATAAACCTGGGATAGTCAACATCATGCCTCTCGTGAGGCCGGATTGAACTCGGTCCCCAGGTTCCAGAGCTCACACCACTCTCTCCCCTCCCCAGAAGCAAGCCTGTATGCTGATCCGAAACCTCGTGGCCCGAGCCCAGGTCTACTCGCAGCCCATCCTGGACCTGGGGGCTGAGGCGCTAATCCTGCAGGCACGTGCTGCCCACCGTGACTGTGAGGATGTGGCCAAGGCAGCTCTGCGGGACCTGGGCTGCCGCGTGGAACTGTGTGAACTCTGGACAGGCCAGAAGGGTGGCCTGGTGCTGTGACCTGCTTGGCTGCAAGGACTTTGGTAGATGGCAAGATCAGCAGGCGTGGCCACCCTGCACTGTGTGCCACAGTAGGAGGTACATCTCACAGCAGCTGGTAAGAAGCGCCCAGTCCTGGCCCTTCCTTCCCAGGACTTTCGCCGTGTTGCCAGGAATGGAGGCCCCCCCACTGTCTGCTGCTGCTTTGAGATGTCTGGCACCCGGTGTTGACATCTCTAAGTGGGATCTGTGGGATCAAGGTCTGCTTCTGACCTTGGCTTTGTCTGTAAAATAGGTCTCAGATGAATGCACTGCTGACCAATGAGGGGGGGAGGGGGCGTGCACATTGGTCTTCTGGTGCCAGAGAATAAAGAACTTGGATTCAAGATGGACATGCCTGTTCTGTAGCTCAGCTAGGTGGGGGCTGTGGCCTCAGGAGAACAAGGGTGGTGGGTGGGGCAGGGAGAAAAGACACCTGGGGAGGCTATGGGGGTCACTGAGAAAATAAGGGGGCACAGTGGCAGAATGAGGGATCTGCAGGTGCTAAAAGCACATCATCTAGGGGGCTGGGAGCACAGCATCAAGGCTCCCCTGAACCTCAGTTAACCCACTAAAAACCAAAGCTACTACCGTCATATATGCAGAGCAGATTATCCGAGAGGCTGGGCTCTATGAGGAGAAGCTTGGCGTTAGGATTGGTGGAAGATCTATCAACCATCTGCGTTATGCAGATGACACAACCTTGCTCGCTGAAACTGAGGAGGACCTCATGCACTTACTGCAGAGGGTCAAGGACTGCAGCCTTCAGTATGGACTGAGGCTCAATGTCAAGAAGACAAAGATTCTCACCACTCGACCAATTGGCAGCATCAGGATGGATGGCGAAGAGATTGAGATTGTTCACAGCTTCAGTTTGCTCGGCTCCACAGTCAACACTCTTGGTACCATCAGCCAGGAAATCAAAAAACGTATTGCGATGGGAAAGTCTGCTGTTAAGGACCTCTCTAAAGTACTCAAGAGCAACAGTGTCTCTTTGGAGACGAAGGTGCGCCTGATACAGGCCATGGTCTTTGCAATCACTTGTTATGCATCAGAGAGCTGGACAATGACTAGGGAGGATAGAAGGAGAATTGACGCCTTTGAGCTGTGGTGCTGGAGAAGAGTATTGAATGTACCATGGACTGCCAAGAAAACAAACAGATTCATCCTAGAGAGGGTTAAACCCAGGCTACTCCTTGGAGGCAAGGATTCTGGGGCTTCGTCTGACATACTTTGGGCATGTTGCAAGGAGAGACAGGTCTTTGGAGAGGGACATCATGCTGGGTAGAGTACAGGGACAGCACAGGAGGGGAAGACCCTCTATGAGGTGGATTGATTCAGTGACTGGGGTAATCGGGATGGGTGTGTCAGAGGCAATGCGATTGGCACAGGATAGGGTAGGGTTTAGGGCTGTTGTACATAAGGTCGCTATAAGTCGCAAACGACTCGACGGCACATAACAACTACCATCAAGTTGCTTACAACTCATAGTGACTCTGTCTGGTTTCCAAGGCTGAAAACCTTCATGAGAAGAAATTGTGGGTCTTCCACAGTGTGTCTGGTGGATTTGAACTGTCTACCTTTTGGTTCATAGCCCAACACATAACACACTACGCCACAAGGACTTCTCTAAGCATTGGTGGTGGTGGTTCTTGTGTCACGGAGTTGGAATCAACTCATAGATGACCCTCCAGTGGGTTTTCAAAGGCTGTAAGTTGCAAGGGAGGAGATTGCTCCTCTTTCTCCAGTCAGAGCAGCTGGTGGATTTGAACTGCTGGATTGGCAGTGCAGTTCTCATAGTACCTGTGAAACAGGTACTGGGTCCACACCAAGGCTTAGAGCAGAACTAATGCTCGTGTGGGCGGCCCCGACTGTTCAGTGGGCCTTCAGACCTAGCCTCCGGGCTCCTCAAAAACCCCACCAGCCCCTTTCAGCTAATTAGTCCCCAGCTGCCTCACAGCCCTCCTTCAGCCAGTGAACTTGGGCACTTTACTCCCTCCTTCCATTTCTACATCTGTGAGATGGCCATCATTGCTTCTCTAATACCTAGCCCACCCCAGACTGATTTCTCAGACCTTAGGCAGCTCATCCACCAGGTGAGAGTCAGGTCCGCAGTAGCATTGAGTCAGGGTTCCAGATTCTGCACTTGGCCTCTCCTCCCTCACTCTGGGGCTTCTCCCCTACCCTGGGGCCCCTCCTTCTCCCAACTCAGTCATTGACCTCACCTCAGTCCTTTCCCAAGAGGCTCCAGGGATGATGCAAAGAGCTATGAAAGGGCATTGCCTCGCCCCACCCCCCTGTAGGGACATCTCCTGCCCTCAGTTAGGGGGTGAGGAGCTTCCAGTCAGGGTGTGCTCCCCCTGGGATGTGTAGCTGCTCTCCTGACCTGTATAAACCTTGCCCTAGAGCCCTGCTCTCACTTATTGAGGCTCAGAGCCAGAGACCTGACCTGAGCCTGGATTGGCCACCACTCTGACCTGGACAATGTCCTCAGGCCACATTGAGCCTCTTTGTGTCACATGAGGGGATGGTAGGCCACTTCAGGGGAGGCCTGAAGAACCAATCTGGTAACTACTTTGTTCTTTCTCCACCCCCACAGGGCCTGCTCTTTAGCAGCTCAGTGGTCCCCTTGGCCTGCACCCTCTCACCCTTGTCTGCCCAAATCTGCAGACTCCCAGATGAAGGCTTCTTCCCTCCTTCTCAGGGCCTTTGTACTGCCTGCAGCTATGGTGCCCTTTCCCACTAGCCCTCACCCACCTCCCTCCTATCCCAGGCCCAGGTCACCTGCTTCCTCCTCAGCCTCCCCCCTGCTTCCACTCCTCTACTGAGGGACCAGCACTCGGTGACCCCGACCCCAGCTGAGATAGTTGTGTGTCTTCTCCTGTGTGTGTGTATGTGTGTGTGTGTGTCCATACACACACAATACCTCCACTGCTCTGGGGCAGAGTTCATCAGTCCACTGTGCCCAGGCTTCCCAAAGGTATTTTCTGAGAGCCCCTGAGTAAATAAAACTGAGTTGGGTGGAGGAACGACCTCTGCCCAGCTCTCAGTTTGGCTCTATGCCTGTTCCTAGGGCCCCAGCCTCCTCTAGGGAAGGGAAGCTGTTTTATCAGCCCTTCCCACCTTAGCCTGAGGAAATGGCAGTGTCAAGGTACTGCCCCATCATGTCTGCAAACCACAGGCAGGGGAAAAGAATTGCTAGAATGCTCTGCCCCACATGACATCAGGCGCCTTTTGGAGCCTCACCTTCAGCCTCCCCACAGTGCCTGCTCTGGGTGCCTGGCTTAGACAGCCCAGCGGGCCTTGCTTGGATGCCCTTGCTCCAGCGGGCCTTGCTTGGATGCCCTTGCTGTCACTGATGATGATGTTGGTGCTACTGAGTGGGAAGCTAGTGAAGACGGTGCACACCATCCTACCAGGCCTTTCGGAACTCTGAAGGTGACATAAGACTCACAAAGTAGTGGGCAGTGTCTGGGAGTAAACCATCAGGGCTGGCCATGATCATTTCTTCCTGTAGACAAGGAGGACCCAGGTTCTAGGCGGTACCCCCTAGGGACACACCTCTTCTTCATATAGAGTGGGCTATTGTGGCACAGAGCCTAGGCACCTCATGCAGGAAAAGAGGCTGAATAAATGGTCACTCCACCCTCCCTAGGTACCTGAGCTATACTAGACCAGGGATCTGGCCCCTGGAGTCATCCTGGAGTGTAGCATTAGGTCCTGACCACCTGATAGGGTTTCCGTTGCCAAGGGGCACTGCCTGCCACCATTGGAAGGTAGGAGAGTGCTGGCTGGCCCTAGCATGCTAATGAGAAGACTGAAGAAAACGCTTGGCTCACTGGCTCCACCACCAGAGGCAGCCATGCTGGGCTGCTGCCCGACCTCTGCCTCAGTTGGCACTGTTCCTGGGCATCTCGAGGCTTGCCGGGAGCTGGCTATACCCCATCTCAGCTGGCAGTGGACACCAAGGATGACTGCCTCCAGCACAGAGGCCTCCCTCCTCAGTCATGAGCCTCTTAGAGAGTCTGGAACTGTATTCCATGAAGTACAGTTTATAGAAAGGAAAACTGAGGCTCAGCCAGACACTTCCTGCAGACCTGCTTAATCTTGCTCTTTTGACTTCAGGCAATCTCACCAGTGCCTAACTAAGGCAGAGTTTGAGTCAACTGGCTAAATGTTACATGGTCAAGAATTTAAAAAGCAGAGACTCAAATGCAGCCCTGGTCCTTCTCATTGGGAAACACCGAGTAGTCTAGGCTTTCTTGGCTGCATGGTAGGCCTGTCACTCCTGAAGTCTGGAGATGGTATTGGGAAGTGTCTGTGGGGTAACAAGGTGCCAGCTTCCTCTTTCCCTCCCTCCAGAGGACAACCCCTGGGATCCACTGGCAGCTGTGTCTGCTGGGAAGTTAGAGGCCTGGGAGAAGCAGCTCACTGGGGACACCAGTAGTGTGTACTACTAATTATAGGAGTTGCAGTCTTCCCCTCCACGAAGGGGGCCTGGGAGACCTCCGGGGTACTTAGCGAGGGCTTGCATGGCCCAAAGATGGAAGCCGTTTTACCCTGCACTTGGGGGCCACTCCCACGGTTCTCTGACTTTGAACTTGATCTCCACCAGTCTCAGCCACACTCAGAAATAAGAGCTGCTGGTCTCTGGGAACATTTGTAATCCTCTCCACCGAAGTGCTTAAGGGAGTGGTGAATTAGAAAGCAGAGTGGTCTGGGGAAGGCCAAATGCAGACAGAATCTTCCACCAGAAGGTCACCGTGAGGGCTAGGATATAAATTCCCTGGGAGCCAAGCCCGAGTAGGACGATTGAGAAGGAAGATCCATATCCTAAGGAAGAACCTGAGCTCACCATCCCCTGCCGCACTGCACTGCAAGAGAACTGAGAACTGGACAGCGATTCCCACCCAGCTGCCCTGATACTGCCTAATCTCACCCAAAGGGAAGGTGAAGTGAGTTTACACCCAGTCACTCCCGCA